TCGCGGGTGCGGGCGCGATTCGCGAACAGGCCGAGGTCTCCATCCTAGCGTACGACTCGGGGGTCCCGGCTTCGCACGGATTGGCTGCCCGTGCGTGGGCGTGATCCTGCCCCCCGGGCACCCAGGCCTGCCTCCTGCAAGAGGCCGGCCTCCTCCTCCCTCCCCAGCCCGGCACTCGTGTCAAAGCCGAAAGTGCGGAGCGCGGCGAGCGCCACAGCAGCGGGGACATCGATACCGTCCGCAAGCCCCCCCCTCCTCGGGTTGTACATCGCGCGTCGCTGCAGCCACCGTGCCGTGGACGGCTTCGAGGCGACCGTCGCCGCCACGGCGGCGGCCTCGGCGGCGGCCACCGCCCCAGCGCTCGAGGTGCCTCGCAGGGTGACGGGACCGCCATTGCTTCGGAAGACGCGGCCGCCGCAATCGAATCGGTCGCGGCGCGCCCAGAGCAGCATCTTGAGCCTGCCAGGAACCATGTCGACGCCGCTGGTCCACCGAAGGACGTGGTGGCTGATCCCCGGGAGGTCGAGGCTCTCCCTGGTCGGCGAGTCGTGCCCGCACCCGCGGCCTCTCTATCGTCCTTGGCTCGCCCCCCCTCTCCGCCGGCTCCTCTTCAGGCTCGGGGAGGCGTGGCCCTCCCTGCCGAAGGTCGCGGTGATCCGGCTGCCACTGCAACGGGTCTCCCCCCGGCGAGCTCGTACGTCCCGACTCTACTCGCAGAGGCCGCGTCAGCTCATCTCTCGCCTCCTCCGACAGCTGACCCCAAGCCCCCCCCGGGGCCCTCCGGCCTCGGCCCTCCGGCTCGCCGGCGGGTCCGTTATCGTATTGCGGCAACTCCCCTCCCCCAGCTCCTCCTCCCGGGTACACCAGCCTCCGGCGGGGCGGTTCCGGATCCCCCCAGTTATTCCGAGCGGGTCCATACGGTGGCGGCCCCGTCGGCGGCGGGGGTGGAGGCACCAGTGGCAGGGGCGGCGGGTACGGTGGCGGCCCTCGCGGCCCAAACACCTGGTGCGGAGCCGCTGGGGCGGCCCCACGACCCTGCAGCCGTTCCAGTGGCGGGGGCGGAAATGGCAGTGCGGGTGGCGGGAACGATGGCGGCACTGGCGGCCGCACCTCCTGGTGCGGAACCTCAGGGGCGGCTCCTCGACCCAGCGGTCGCTCCAGCGGCGGGGGCGGAGGCGGTGGTGGTGGGGGCGGGCCTGGTGGCGGTGCCGGCCGCCGCAACTCCTGGCGCGGGGGGGGGATGCCCCTTGCCCCCTGCTGGGATTCTTTTTCCGTGCAAGTGGCCACGCAGGCGAAGAGAATTTTGAGCCCGGGGTTCCCGTTCTCGTGTCTGGCCTTTTCTCGGGGCCGCCCTCGCACGGTTTCTTAATGCCCGCAACCCACTGCATGGGACTCCTCTCTCCCTGCCAAGAGAAGCGATGGACGACATAAACGGATCGATTCGGTCAATGCTCACGCTGCTCGATGACGACTCCTCCTCCGAGAGCGAGGCCGGCGACATCGACGACCTCCTCTCCTCCCACGAAGACCTCCT